TCTATTTAGTGATTACTTCTGTAAGACTAGCCCACAGGTTGATTCTTTCTAGTTAAAAGACAAAGAAGATAAGAATTTGTTTCTTAAATAGGGATGCTTTAATTAATTTGAAAAGTTCATATATAATAGATATATGTAGACCAGTTTGTTAGAGATGCCCAGTAAGTGATATTTTATACACACACACCACTCACACACACACACATACGCACCACTCACACACTACAGACTTTCTCCTGGCCAAAAACTGGACTAAAAAGAATGAACTAATTTGAGCTGAGTGAGTTAGCATAACATACCCCAGAAGACTTCAATTATCATTACGCGAATGACATGCTTTGAGTCTCTGTGGTGGCATGGAGGACATTTCAAACAAAAATATTATGGAAGTGAAAGTGTGGTTTGTTAAACATAGGCTCTATAATAGCCTTTTCCAATGCAATTGCAATCGTATATAGAAATTTTGAGGCCCTGCTGAGTTTTTCTATACCTTAACCTCTCCATAGTTTGATTTATTAAGGTTTTAATCCTGGTCACATGTGGTGAGAAATGACAACGCGGCCATAGTAAGAGAAATTCAAGCTCAGGTAAAGTGGAGTGATTTAGTGTAGGATCAGATTACTTTACACTGTTAACCTTAGTTACAATGAGAACTCTACGTAGGAATGATATGAGATATTTGAACAACTTGTATGGCCTTGACACTGATTGATCTGATGGATGTGGGCTGAATTTGTGCATACCTTCTAAATATCAGAACTTCCACTATGTAAATGATTATTATATTGCTCTATGGCCAGAAGTATGTTTAATACTCACACACACAAGCACGTTCTGAATGGTGAGCTTGTTCTTGACCTCAGTTACCTATAGGGCATGTATATTTAGTAACAAATAGAAGCAATTTAGAAGCAAGTTCATGATAGGCAGTAGCAAAATTGTGAGCTTTTTGTGCCTTGATTCTGAGGATGTCAAGATGAAAACGCTGCATATATTTTGACCCAGTAGGTCAACCTCCTGGACTCTGTCTTAAGGAGAGAATTGAACAAATACATGAGGATATATGGGAAAAGATGTATATGAGGGCCGGCCGAGTGGCTCAGTTGGTTAAGAGCTCGCTGAAGAGTTTGAGCTCTGAGCAATAGTGGTTCGATGCCTGGTCCGAGCTGAGCAGCCGCTGAGCTGCCAACAGGTGGCAGGATGGCTCAGCTTAAAAACAAACAAAAAAAAGATGTATATGTGTGCTATTTGTAATCATGGAAATGTTATAAACAACCTCAATGTTCAATAGTAAGGGATTAATTACTTATTCTGATAAGCAGGCCCTGATATTGCCATTAAAACTGTCATCACCACAGTGCATTTACTGTCATGAGAAGACAGTTACTACTGATTGTTAAGTGAAAAGACTATGTCTTAAAATAGTATCTATACTATAGTATATATTGACTGTTGTAATTATTTCTGTTAAGAAAAAATACTTGAAGGATAAAATTCTAAAAAAAGTATACAAGTATAATAAAAGATGGATTCTGACTCCAGAGATTAAACTTTTATGCATGAAGAGCCTTGATCTTTCTCTATGATCTTCCACTTTCTTTCTGTTAAAATATCTACCCTGTGGAATCTTTTTAGGATTTGAGCTAAGCATGATATCTGGCATATTTTGGGCTTCTTCTAGGAGGGATGATCCCTTAGGAACTGCACCAGGAGATTTAAACAAAATTTTGCATTTGCACTTCTACCCAATTGCACAAAATTTTAAGTTAATTGTTAATCAGGGCCATGTCTGTCAACAGCGGATTTCAAGTTCATTTACATAGACATAGACAGAGTCTTGGATAATGTTAAAAGAAATAAGGACTGTATCAAAGACCAAATTCAATAATTGAGCACATTCAGATAACATTGGATAATGTCACCATGTCAACTTATATATAAACAAAAATTGTTTTTTTAAAAAACATAAGAGGATGTATTTATGGAAATAACTTCTGGATTGTTTAAAATATGGGTAATTTACATGCAATAAAGAACACCCTTTGAAGTGAACAGTTTAAGCTTTAACAGACACATACACCTACATAAATATCACTTTGAGCAAGATATTAAACATTTCCACCTCCCCAAATACATTTTGAATCTAAACTTGTTTTAGAATGTCACCATGGTTGCAACCTCAGATCCTTTGGGTCTTACCCCTCATGATCTAGAAGAAGCCAAGGGCCAATAAAGATAAATTTGCCTGAGTATGTCATTTTAGGAAATGTTTTCTACCTATAATTCTAAAAAGATGCTTTTTCAATCTCCTGATGTTTCCTTAGCGTGTGTGCCTGGAAAAACCATGGATGATTCCCACTGAGGCACTCTGCATTGGAATCTCCATTCCCATTGTGCTACTGCTCACTGTTTTGACCGCCATCATTATCAAAAGTAAGTATTTTCAGGAATGTGCCCAAAAGGACAGAGTGAAGGGCCCAGAGCCAAACTGCCTGGGTTCAAGCTGGTCCACGTGTCATGTAATTTTGATTTCATATTACTTCTCTGTTTCATAACCTCTTCTTTTTGTTTTTCTTATAAATCTTGGCCCATGAAAAGAAAAAGAAAATTTAAATTCTCCATGGGAGCAATTAAATACTAAGAAATAAGAGTCTGCTGGGTAGAGTTAAGATTGGAAGGCAAGAAACCATTACACAAAAAAAGGAAAGAAAAAGAAAGAAACCATTATACTATGTAAGACTTGTTCACTCCTTTTTCTCCCCTCCCCTCAAAGCCCAGTTTTTCTTCTGACGAAGGGTAATATTGTCGAGCATTTTATAACACTCACTTAACCGGAGAGGCAAAAGACACATTAGAAGGGAAGTAGATTTTAGGACTAAAGGTAGAAAGAAGGGTTTCAAAAAGGAGCCATATAACAGGTGTGTGTGTGTCTGTGTGTGTGTGTGTGTGTCTATCTGTCTGTCTGTGTGTGTGTCTGTGTGTGTAACTAGCCTCCATGAAAGAACCACAATCATCCATTTTTAAAAAATGAAATCTAATAATTAATTGCATTAAAGTAAGCTGGGGGATGTGTGTGACTACACTAAACCATTAATGAACATGAGATAGAGGCTTGTTTGGGCGGCACATTTTCAAAAGGAGTTACCTGAAGTTACCAGGGAAGAGCCAAGTCTGTTTTTGGATTTGTTTTGTTTTCTTTCTTTTTTAAAACGTTCTTCTAAATTTATTTTTTTTCAGGCTCTGGCTCTGTACTAATTTTGTTCATATTAAAGTAATAGCAGAAATAATGTACTTGTTTAGAAAAAGATCTCATGAACTCTTTGGCTGACATGTTTAATTTTCTTTTCAACTCCTCTTCAATTTAGAATATTTATGCACAAGAGGAAAGGCGTTACAAATGCGGTAAGTTTTAAAGGGTTTGTGTCGATGCATTTTGATGTCCCTACTCTAACAAAAACAAAGAAAAAAACTTGCTCTGTCCCTCTCCTGACTCCTGAACTCTCCGTTTTATACCCTGGATCCTGAAAAAAATCTAGTTTAATGATTTCCATTGCTGTCCACACCTTCTGCTGACATTTTTAGCTTTCTTTATTTCCCTGGATTTGTGCCAGAAACTGCTACAAGCAGAGCACCTCAAACCTAACCTCTTAGAGTAAGGGAACCAAATCACAAATTTTGTTTGATGAATCATCTGAATAAGTTGTTTGGTTTATTCTTGATTTCATTCAATGCTTTTTATTTATTTTTATTTTTTATTCAATGCCTATTATATTCCGAGGAGATGAACAAAACAGACAGAAAACATAAGCAAATCATCAGGGTCCTTTCAGCGGTTCCAGAAGAATAGCAGGGGAATGAGGAGCAGGGTGAGGCGCTGTGTGAGTGAGCCCTGAGGCAGCAGGAGGCCGCTCTGCAAAGACTGGAGGAGACAGCTCCAGCTAAAGAAACGCAAACGACTGTGGTGGGCCAGCCAGTACCCGAGGGTCCCCCGTGTTCACCCCCAGCCTGCTCTGCTCCCTTACATTGGTTATCTGGCCTCATAGGCATTTGAATTGACAATTTTTGTAATCCACTCTACTGCCCAGTTAAAGCTTCAGTCCCCTTTACTTGCATACATGCCCTGTGGTCATCTGCCTGAACACCTTTAATGGTGCGGAAACCACTGTTTATTTGCGGTTCCAGGTAACCTGCTTCATTTAGTTCAGTTTGGGCTTCAACAAGGTATTTCTTTGGTTCGAATACATCGCTGCTAGGCTGCCATCCATCATTCCTAGTTCCCTTTCATTGGTTGTCAGTCTTTCCTATTTCTTAGTTAATTGCACGAGCCCATCCACAGAATGGAGCACATGATTAGTGCTCCATCAATGTTGGCTTCAGTTATTGCAGTCATGCCCTTCACATCAAGAAACCTGTGAGATAGGCACTGTTATTCTCAGTTTATAGACTGGAAAGAGGTTTAAAAAAGTTCAGTGACATCCAAGGTCACATCACAGAGCAGGCAAAAAACTCAATCTTAGGTCTTTTAGCGTCCCAAGCCCAAATTTACAGGAGTTTTTTATCTGAGCCTAAGGATAGAAGGAAAAAAAAATACCCCTTATAGGCAGAAAAAACGTGGAATATAACATCCTTTTAATTGACTGCTGTCCTTTCACTGTTAACAATTTTTAAAGGTCTACTTTTTTGTGTCTTAATAATAATAAAAGTGGGCCGACCGAGTGGCTCAGTTGGTTAGGAGTTGGCTTAAGAGCGTGGGCTCTGAGCAGCAGGGCTGCCGGTTTGATTGCCACATGGGCCAGTGACACTGCACCCGAGCTCAGCTGTCGCTGAGCTGTCAACAGGTGGAAGGATGGCTCAACTGGTGTAACAACAAGATGGCCTTTTCAATGGTGGGCTATGCCCACCTGCAACTATGACTGAACTCGGCACCTTGAGATGAGCTGCCACCTGGATGGCTCAGTGAATAGGGCGTGCACTCTTTACAACAAGGCTGCTGGTTCAACTCCCTCATGGGATGGTGGCTACGCCCACCTGCAACTAAGATTGAACACAGCACCTTGAGCTTAGAGGCTGTGATCTGCCGACGGGCAGCCAGATGGTGACTGGAGCCCTCCACAATGAAGACTGAAGAACAACAACTTGGCTGGTCCCCTTCCCTAATTCCCCAACACTGTCCCCCTTCAATTCCCCAATTAAAAAAAATAATAAAAGAAAATATTGTAGAAAATGTTATTAAATATGAAAAAGCAAAACAAAAAGAAAAAAAACAACAAAAATGAGCATTTCCTCATGACATTTTTTTGGCAGCTATATCACACTGACTCATTTCAAGCTATTGACACCTAAACTATTTTCACACATGTATGACTGGCCCATTTAACGATCAGAGTTGAATGAAGACTCAGTATATTCCATATCATTTCTGGGCAGGCTTATGTAATAAACACAATCACTAGAAAACAGGAAGCTATATCAAAACACTACACAACCTTTTAGTATACTTGATGTGTAAATGCATGTGTTATAAAAAGCATCTAACCTTACCATTCAAATTCTGACCATAAAGACACAGTAAGATTTTTGACACCATGATCCAGTACACACTTATGTGAAACAACACTATTTTACTACATCCAATATGCTCTGATACTCCTATTTTGTATTTTCTGTTTATCTTAAATTCAGGATGTAGGCCACTTCATAGATTTAATAACCCTCTCTAAAATGTCACAACCCACATTTGGTAAAACACCACCTAAACCACTTCTTAGCCACCTTTGAGAATATGCATCTCGATTTAGTACTTCACTTTGGTTTCTCTTTTAGATTATTAATTTTTGTATTCTATTACGTAAATCTCTTGAAGGAAACTAGTTTGAATATGTTTTAGGTTCTTTTTTTTTTAATCATACTTAGGTTTTCTACCTGCTTATTAAACACATTTTCCCACAATTTAATATTCACAACTCTCGAAGCAGCTAATCATTTCATAGGCAGTGTGAATGGGGCTCTGGGAGTTGCAAATAAACAAATGTGCTGCTCATTATTTAGAAAAGATCGGCTTTTATCTTACTCATGTTATTATTTTTATAGGAAGTTGTCATCGAGTGAACCTCAGACTGGAACTTTGCAAAATGCAAATACAGTGCGCTACCGAGCAGAGGAGAGTATCTACTTTGAGAACAAACTTTACAACATGCATTCAGACCCTGTGGCCCTGTAAGGCTTTATACCCTTGACCACAGAAGGCAATGACCTTATGTCACCGTGTCACAGTCCTTTTAAGCTCTAGGATGATTTTTCTGTCAATTTCCCACTGCATTTCAACATGTAAGTGATGTTGGGTAGAGTGCCTCTAGCTCATCTGTGTGTATAGTCAATCTTATAGGTAATATACTCCGAATTTCTTATACTAAAATTGGCTTTATCTTCTCTCATAGCAGAGTTCCCTCCCAAATATGAAATGAAGACTTTAGTATTGTATATTCTCTTTAGACCTTATGCATCCTGTGTCCATCTAGAATTCTCATTGGGGAGATAGGAAAGGAACTTCTACCTTGGTCACCAAAGCTGCCAAGAGGAGTCCATTAGGACATACAATCAGCAAATCACATTTGGCACTTAAATGACTTTCTCTGGAAACCATCTATGATTGTTTCTTATTTTTTATCTTGCAACTCCAAATGTTACATTTCTTAGATCACCCAAGGGTTTTAAATTATGAAGGTGCACAGGCTTTTATTTCCCTCATGAAGAAATAAATTCAGTGTGATTTCGCCATTAGGTCTGTTTTTTCATGGCTCTGAAAATATAAGTTTTCAAGTGCTTTCTCTGGGATCAGGACAACTATTTGAGCAGTTAGAAGAAGCTAGGGTAGTGCATGGACCAAGTAGATAGTAGGGAAAGAAAATCAATTGCAGTGTGATTTAACACATGTATTTATTTTTGCTACATCTGTGCCATGGTTCTAGGCACTTAGGTAGACAACTATCAGGGAATCTGAACTACTTTTTGGAATGATGCTGAGCAGAGAGAGAGAGAGGAGAGAGAGAGAAAATAGGGAATAAGGCTTCAGAGAGAGAGAGAGAGAGAGGAGAGAGAGAGAAAATAGGGAATAAGGCTTTAGAGAGAGAGAGAAAGAGAGGAGAGAGAGAGAAAATAGGGAATAAGGCTTCCTGACTCAGAAAAGTTAGTTTGCAATATACTAGTGTTGCTTGTGGGTATTATTTCTTTCAACTGAAATTCTAAATTGTCTCCAAACAACTTTGACTTAAAATTGTTTTGGAAGGATGAAGTGTTTATATCAAATAAATTCCAATGCTATTTCTTTTTCACAATTGAATTAAATTTTTGGTTTTGCCAAGAGAGTTAAACAAAGGCTAAAGGTAAGAATATTTTTAGCCACCAGAAACATTTCTACATGGCAGTTAACAAGGCTGGCTATCAATTTTAATTTGAGTAAACCCTGAAATAACTCATTCTTGGGTTTCAGAGTTGCTAATACAGTAGTGGTCTAGGAGGGGGGATGCCTGTTTTTGAAGACAACACTTATGACATGGTTCTACAGAATTCTAGGAAATTAATAGGACTCTGAAGAAAGGTTATAAGGGCAAATAAGATTGTTAAGCATCGTATACCAGGTTTCCCAAATGGGCCAGAATAATCTGGTCAAAATTTTGTTCAAACTACAGTGTTTTTCTTTTAAATTAAAGACAACATGCAAAAGTGTGGAGATTTCCAATTAAAGTCTAGATTTGTAGCTTCTCTGGAAAGACCTGGCAACACTGAACTGCAATCCTATGGAGTTGGGACCCCATTAGATGACGTCTCATCCCCTCAGCCCTCAGCGTACTTTGCCTGTACGCTCACTTTGTTACCTGCTTTGTGATTTGTGGGGCTTTCAATTTATGATGCCTGCTGTATTCCCCACGCCTTTCCGGGAGATTTAAGATGGCGCATTAAAGACTCTGGTACCTGGTTCACTTTGTTTGGTCCAGCATTTCCAAAACTTGTTTGAAACCCATGAGCACAATGACTGCTGGCTTGCCCAGTACCATTCTGTGAAACAGTGTGTGAGGCATAGAGAAATCAGGGGTCACACAGAAGTAGAAATAGAACTTGAGTTCTAATCCTCTTACCAATAACACTGGATGACAATAGGGCAAATTGTCCTTTATGCCTAAATTTTTACATCTTTTAGAAATAATTATTTCCACACCTACATAGTAGGTAGTGTATAATAGTAATTCCAAATCCAATGACATGTTACTTGTGAAAGTCTGAAAAGTGGAAAACACTACAGAAATGCAAAGGGGTTTTTTGTTTTTTTTTAGAGTTTGTAGTAATAGCAGATCTAGCATTAGTGCTCAGTAATTAATTTCCATGGTGTTGCATTCATGAGTATCTTTACATAGTTCCTCCTATTTTTTTTTAATAATGGTTTTTTGAGAAAGTTGTTATTGGGCAATTTGGCTGTCATTTAATAGTGTAGAATATAATTGTCAGCAACTGAGAGGGACAGTGGGTTAGACCTAGGGCGGGTGGTTAGTTACTGATAATAAATTCTTTTCTGTAGGTCTATTGATCTTGTAGACTGTTTTGACTTTTGTTTTTGATCCTTTAAGACAGTTGAGGCTTCATTTTCTACCTTCTGTCCTGGGACATTATGACACGGGTGCAATTAATACCATATATTTAAATTTAGGAAATCTTGCCCATCTTTAAAAAGTAGCAGAACCAATCTTTCACTGATGACTGTGAAGATAATGTTGCAATCACATGGAATTGTGAGGGTCTCCTAGTTGCATTATATGCACACTCACCAATAAATGTGATTTTGTTTTCATTTTGAAAACTGACTTCTTTTCTCGCCTCATCAGTTAGTCAGGGCCAGCCATCTTTATGTGGCTGTGGACGCCCAGGACAGGGCAGGTGGGGCAAGATTTGAGAGTGAAGTGTGCCCGGCACTCCTCCAGGTGCTGGGGTGGAGCAGAGCACCTCCCTGAGCTCCAGTTCCCATGGAGCTCCAGTTTAGTAGGGAGGAACCCCCCAAACCGTCGATTCTGGTTGCAGTTATTGCTGTGGAGAAAGGATGTAGTGAGTGATAGAGCCAGATTTCTGAACAGCAACATTTGGGGCCAGATAACTAACTCTTTGTTGTGGGGGCAGTCCTGTGCATTGTAGGATGTTAAGCGGAACCCCTGTTCTCTACCCACCAGATGACAGTTGTGCCCCTCCAGCTGTGACAACTGCAAATGTCTCCAGACATCACCAAATGTCTTCTGAGAAGCGGTAGCACCCCTGGTTGAAAACCACTGTGATAGAGGATGCCTGGGGGTGTGAGGGTTGTCGAGAGGGAGCGCTGAACGGTTGGTCAGGGGCTGCCTCTGGGAAAGACGTGACATTTGAGTCGAAACCAAACTGGCAGCCACTTGCAGTAATCCCCCAAATGCAAGGGCCCTGAGGTAGGAAGACGCTTGTGTAATGAGAGGGAACGAGGAAAGTGTGCTCCAAGGAGTAAAAGCGCCAGTGTGACTGCAGCCGAGTTAGTGAGAAGGGTTGCAAAGAAACGAGGCTCGAGACGTGGGCATGTATCTCACAAGGTGCTGGATGGAAAGGGCTCCGTGAACACATCTGTTTGAGGAGAGTCCCACTCTTGGGAAACAAGGCACTTTAGCATAGTAAAGGTTACGCCTGCTATGTGTCACCAAATTGTATTCACATTTATTAACGTGCTTCAGAGACACTGTTCTAAGATTACATCTAGAAAGGCAGTTTGGTTGGGTGACAGAAGAGGGTAGTAGGAGGAGAGGGGTACGTGCCAGCCCTGAGGGGCTTTCCCCAGGACTGTGAGGCACCCAGGTCTAGGGAGAGGGGTCCTGGAAGAGGAGGGGTAGGGTGCCGTGTTTGACTCCGATCTCCTGGGCCAGACAGCAGCTGAATTCACTCTTCCCAAACTTGCAGCTTGGAGTAGTGGCCTGATGTCCTCCAGAGGAGCTAACTGCCCCACTCCGTAGATCAACCAACATCTTGGGAATGCTAATCTCCTGTGTCTTCACTGGGCATGTCATTCTTCAGTGCTCAGCTCGAACGGCACCTCTCCAGTCCTGTGGGACCTCATCTTCTGACAGAATTCACCCCCTCTTAAGCACACTTGTTTGCAGCCCTTTTTAGTCACTGGCCAGATATGCCAGTCATGGTGCACGTGCTTAGCTCAAGTCATTCTGCAGGAGGCCATGGCCATATCTAGCACACGTGGCCCCTTTGGGTGAATTGCAAAGAGATCCCCCTCCTTCTGGCTGACACATCGCTGAGCCTAAGGCAGAGGCTGGCCAAATGGAGTCTATCCCAACTATTAACCATTAATGGGGACCCTATAACTCAGTCCTTTGTCTTAGAGATGTTTAGGCTGATGATCCTTTGTATACTGAGCTCTGTGAGGGAAGTGTCATCGTTTCCTCAGCACCCAGCTTATATATAGTATGCACTCAGTACATATTTAGGAAAATCAGTGAATAAATTGAGAATGCTTCCTAGAGCCTTCCTGTGTGTGCTGGGGATAGGTATGGGAGAGACGAGTGTCTTTTAAACTCTTTTATGAGAGAAACACATCTCTTCAGATAACTGGCTGGAGTGTAGGAGTCTGTGTGCACCTCAGGGACTCTGAGATTGGTGATTTGCAACCTTGGCTATACATTAGAATCACCTGGGGAATTAGCCAACTACGCATGCCCAGACCAATGAATCAGACTCTCAGAAGGTGATGCGTTATTTTTCCAGTCTCCCCAGGTGATTTCAATGTGTAGCCGAGGTTGAGAACCCCTGAGCCAGAGAGACTTGGCGAGGGAAGGTGACAGCGTGTTTTCTTGTTCTGTGTGACAAGAGCTCTGGAAAAGCATAAAAGATATATGCTTAAACAGAACACCATCAACAGTGGGCTGGGACAGGTGAACTGCCAAGCGAGGAAACGGTGTAATGCTGGGTGCCCAGGAGATCTGTCCTATGTCTGGCTTGGATGGCAGCCCTGGGAACAAGAAGTTGGAAACAGCCACGCTTTTGAAAGTTTTTCAGGAAGCCGGCCCACAGCTGTCGAGCTGACTGCCCCTAGGCCTCCTAAGAACCAAACCTTTTCTTCCACAGTTGCAAAAATAGGCAAAGAAGAAAATCCCCTTTGGCCTGCGAGGAAATGCTCTAAGGTAAACTTCTCTGTTTTGTCCTGCAGACTGCTGAGATGCAGTTTGCTGTGTCTGGCAAACACTGCACCTGCTTGAGCCTAAGAAAAACTTGCATGATGACCGATTTGCACATTTGCAATATTCCATATATACTCGTATATTATTATTCCGTATCTTCTTTATTTGTTCATCCATCAGTGGACACTTCGGATGCTTCCATGCCTTGGCTATTGTAAATAATGCTGCTATGAACATGGAAGGGCAGCTATTTCTTTGACATGGTTCTTCCATTTCCTGGAAATGGAATTCCTGGATTATGTGGTAGTTCTAGTTTTAATTTTTTCATGAGCCTCCTTACTGTTTTCTATAGTGGCTGTACTAATTTACAACCTCATGAACAGTGCACAGGAGTTCCGTTTTCTCCACGTATTTGCCAGCATTTGTTACTTTTAAGATTAAGAGCAGGAAAAAACATAAGTGTAAGCCTTCAAGACGTTGGATTAGACAATGTTTGTTAGCTATGACACTAAAAGGATGAGCAGCTAAAGAAAAAAATACTTGTTGAACTTCATCAAAAATGAAAGGACACTGTCAAGAAAGTGGGAAGATAACCCACAGAATGGAAGAAAATATTTACAAATTACATGTCTGATAAGAGCAGCATCCAGAATATATAAAGAACTCTTACAACTCAACAACAAAAAGACAACTAACCAATTAAAAATGGGCAAAGGACTTGAATGGACATTTCTCCAAAGAAGATACTAAACAAATAGCCAATAAGCACATGAAAGATGCTTAACATTATTAGTCACTAGGGAAACAGAACCCAAACCTATAATGAGATACTACTCAATACCCTCTCAGAAAGTTATAATAATAATTGTTTAAATCACATAAAATAACAAGTGTTGATGAAGACA